GACCATAACTCTTTTAAGAATTAAATTAAATAGGCTATCTCCTGGAAAGCCCAGGGAGCAGAAAATCAAACATCACAGCTTTTTTTTTTACCTTCCTTTTTTGAGAGCCACAAAAGAAAGATTTATAGGGGTTGAGCTGTGGGGGAGATTATGGCTCAATGTCATTGAAATGCTGGCTTTCAGATGAACTGTGTAATCCACACAGGGATAAAAATTAAATGAAAGCAGAAACACTAAATACTAGACAAGTGAATTCATTTCGTAATCAACTGTATATTCTGCCTTAGTTATTTTGTATCAGATTTGATCTTCAGTGGCATTTAGGTACCGTTTATACACAGCATTGATGATGCGTTCCCTGTGTTGCAACGACGTCTATTTTTAGGCCTCGGAATACACAAGTATGACTTTTAACTCTGTTGGCCACAAAGGACAGATGAAAATGGGAAAACATGGAGGCTTACCCATGATGCAATGCAGGTATAAAAGTCAGAACACGAGAGAGAAACCAAGAGTCCTGGATATTGACTTGGCCATTTGTAACAACATTACTTGTGAAATTATAACCTGCGTTTTTCAGGTAAATGAGGACAGCCAGCATATTTGGAACATTTAAGGAAAAGTCATTACTCAATCTGAATATTTACAATACTGTTTCAAGAAAAACCAAACATGAGATTTTGTCATTACACCATGACCTGTCTAAGTGACAGATGTACAGAACGTCAGCTCAGTCTTTAACCCATGGATAGATGAGCTCACCTGGGCACAGCCACATAGCCCAGCGTCATGGTGGAGGCCCTGAAGATGGAGGAAACGCTGGTTTGTTAGCCGAGAGAGCGCTGGAGGAGAGGAGACGCGGTGAAGGCAGGTTCCGTGACGCTATGGCATGCTCCCAGCCGTGGGCGAAAGAACCTGCAGGAAAGACGCTAAGACACTTTCAGAGCCACAAACTCGTTTTTTTCTTCCTTTCTCAGCAGCAACCTTGCTTGTTCATTCAATTCTCATTGGCCAAGAGTTTCCCAAGAGGTGGTGGCAAACGTTTTATTACCGGTACTTAAAAGAGGCAGAGGCCCCTGGGTTCCCTCTGTGCTGTTTTTCTTTTGCACCGTGACTCCTAATAATATGTCTTGACTGTATGTAATTATACTAAAAATTAGCTTTATAATGGAGGTGTCTGCGGTGGTTGGGTATAATAGAGACAAGTAGAGGAGTCTTTGTGGATACTCATCGCAGAGTACATAGGACTTAAACAAGGAGTAGGGACAAAAGCAGTGCATATGATTTCAAGAAATACATAAGTACAAGGCCTGGATGGACTGTGAAGTCCACGGTTAAGAAGCATGTTTATAAGACGAGTCAGCGACGTGATTTGTGCATTTAATTGCACATTTCGGGAGAGAAGGAAGAGGAAACAGGTGTGCACTTCCATCAAGCCAAAAAGCTCCAGTAATCCATCCATATCTTCAAAAGCCTCCATTTTTATTACACATGTAAGAACAGCAGCCTGCCTTAGAGGCTAACCACTTACATTTGAAAAGCACTGCCCTCAAGTGTAATTAGATTTATGTGTAGATAAAATATGTCTGGATCTTTTTTTAAAAAAAAAAAAAAAAAAAACTGTTTTATACTATACATGAAAAAGAATCAGTTAATTACAGACTTAAATGTGTGTAGATTTTTGGAGCACACATCTGAAAACCATGGGGATCCCCCGTTAACTACAAGGAAAATGGTAACTACTATGTATAAGAAAGACTTGCCCAGCTCAGAAATATTGTTCTTATTAACATTAACATAATAAATAAGGCATTTGTATCTCTGTGATGTTGTGGTAGGAGACGTTTCATGCAGCTGCATTTAAGTCGCTCAATTTTAGGTTTTCCTTTCATCCGGTTTAACTTGCAGATTGTCTCTCCCCAAACGTTCAAAATGTTCTTTTTATCTAGAAGCTAGGTAAGGATCAGTGTTTTTTTCATTATTATGTATGCAAACATTCTGCATTGCACCTAACATACTTATGAATTTATGCTTCTTCTCTTAGTAAATCCTAGTCAGCAAAGTCCCTGTGAAAGTCAGCAGTCGGAGAGCGCAATGTTTCGGAACATTTTCTTAGCTATTTCATGTTTGAGGGACAGTCACACAGTCTGAGGCAGGATGAATCTAACAGCTATGATCCATGACTTGCAACCTCACCACTGACTAGGATATTTTCACATGAGAGATCTCAGAAATAATACAGTATTATTCATCAGTGCTTCTCGTTGACATTCCTGCAATAGTTCTGCAATCAGCCTGTGTAACAGTAACTAGATGGGTAAATAAATTTGCCAACAAATTACCTTTTGTCAGCCTTCTTTATTCATAAGGACTGTTAATGAAGGCACGTTGAATCCCTGTCAGAAATAAACTTGACTATTTATGGTTTGGAAAATTGGTAATGTACAATTAAAATGATGACAGGAATCCTATCCAGAGTGTGTCCCCTGTCCTGCACCCCGAAACAGGCTCCAGACTCTCCGTGACCCTGTACTGGATCAGGCAGTTGAAGGATGGATGGATGAAATTACTTTAAAGCTTAAATATATATACGCACACAAATACATACACACACACACACTATATATATATATATATACACACACACACACACACACACACACAGTGGTACCTCAGAACTCGAATTTAATCCATTCAGAACTCCGGATCGAATCCTAAAAAGTTCGATTTGTGATCGAATTTTCCCCATGAGAGATCATGGAAAACCAATTAATTGAATTAATTAAAAAATTACACCTAAATATGTTTTTTTTAGCATTTAAACACAAAATGAGCCGGATAAAACAAGAAGAGCATATACTGTACTAAACACATCTAAGCACATTTATCAAAACAGTAATTTGTAAAGTAAGAAAATAAATGTATGCAAACAATGTGTCCTGCCCCAATCGTCCGCTCCTTCCGTGAGCCACGCCCCCTCGTTAACCTCGTGTAGGATCCCAGTGTGAACTGTTGTTTCTGGTTGTTGTCATTAGTCCTCTGTATTTCGTCCGTGTTTCAGTTTGTTTCCCCAGTCCGGTCATTGTATTGTCCGCCTGCGTTTTGCCTGCCTTACCTGTAATTAAACCCCATATTCCCCGATACCCTGACGTCTGCGCCTTTGTCTCCGTTCCGACCCTGCTCAGCACGACAATATTATTATAAATAAATGTATTAACGGTTTATTATTAATATAAAAAAAATGAATAAGAAATCTTTATTTTTAAATGTATTTTACTATATAATGATTACTGTTACTGTCTATCATTGTCCAAATGTATTTTTACTGTCTAAATATATGTATTCAGCTAGTGTAAACATGCAGGATGCTATCACAGCGAATGCCAGGCTGAGACTGAAGCTTTACCCTTTGTTTCCACTGAGAGACATGCGTGACTCATTTCCCAGCGCGTGCAAGTTATCTAAGGTCAGCGTTCACGGTTTGACTTCTGAGATTCAGATCGAGCTCTAGGTAATTTTTTTTCCGAATTGGTTGGTTCGAGTTCCAATGAGTTCGAGAACTGAGGTACCACTGTATATATATTTCTTTTCTTTTTTTTCGAAAACAAAAATGACTGTGGTCCTTACAACATTACTTGCTGTCACCGTATTTGCTGAGGATGTCACCTGCTAATGGAATGATGCAGTATTTACAGACCCTGATCTAAAGAAAAGTAAGCATTTCATGCTTAAATCTCCTGCAGCACGGCCCTGGTTATTAATACCCCTTACGGCTGGAATGGGGCACCAGCAGCAAAACTGGCTGAATGGTGAGATGTGCCCCTTATACTTTCATAACAGCTCAGATTAACTGAACTGCACTGGCTTGATTAGGGATATGATTATCTCCATGACGTGAGGACCAGTAACGTCCTGTGCTATGGGAGCTGCATATATTTCTTTCCTAAATATGAACAAAAAAAAAAAAAAAAGACTATTGCTTGCAGCACCCTGTCTGCCGGATCAGCAATGTGTTAATTCCAATTTGCACCTTTCTTTGTGTCTGAATTAAACCTTTTTATAATAAATTCAGCGTCATCAAGTATCATTTAAATTACAAATGTGAATTCTAGGCATGTTCAACATAACATAATTTTTAATGCGATAAACACTAAAGTATTTAAAACTAAAAGTCATTTTTATTACTGGTAAATATTCCCTGAGAAATCACACTTAAGTAAAATATATTTTAAAAAACAGATATTGGAATGCATTTCATTATAGCAGTTAAATTAATATCTAAACACTTTTATTAGCCTGAGCAAATATTTCCTGACCATGGAGAACTGCTCATAAACGGCAAACCACCAATCTCTGTGTTTAATTTTTATTAAGCAAAATAAGCTGTCAGTTTTGGACATTAACTAACAAATGTTAGTGTGTTAATTGTTTACCCTGTAAGTAAGATTTTTCTGTAGCAGATGGAACGATAGCATTTATTTTTAAAATAACTATACATCTCATCAAAAGAGAAAAGAGTCCCTCTGTATATAAGCTACCAAATGCCTTTGGCCATTCGGCAGAAATGTTTAGGCCCTTTTGGTATAGAACTCAGAAGGTCAATAACTGTCAATACCTCTTAACATAGACGGAACTTATTCAGCAGTTCAGGACTGAATATAATAACAGTAAACGGATTATGGGATTATTTTTAAATTACTTGGGTTGGATAATTGTAATACTAATAAAAGCTCCATAAAAACATAAAAAAAGAAAACATTACTGGACAGACGGCTACCTTGCACTCGTAGCTCCTAAACTGCCTATTACGGTTTTAGGACACAGTGTAGTTTTATTTGAGGGTGCTGTGACGTCAGTCCGTAAATAGTATGCACCGCACCGCACAAAACCCACCAACAAAATACCACGAGAAGATCGAGGTTATGTCGTAACTCATCATCATCATCATCATCATCAATAATAATAATAATAATAATAATAATAATAATAATAATAATAATAATAATAATAGAACAATCAACAGGGTAACTACGCAAAGGGGACAAAGGCGGCCGCAGTCTGGAGAAAACAGTCCGTCATCTTAACATTTCGAGCATCAGTAGTGTTTCACCGTACTGGACGTACATGGGATGTATGAATAACCATGGCAACAGCAGCAGCATCAGCAGCTGCAGCAGCAGCAAGAACGGCGAGCAGCTTGCAGCAGTAAACACTGACCAGCGGAGTCGTGAATCCGCAGCAGCCTGGATCAGCGCTGCGGATGACAGAAGCCTTTGCAGAAAGACAACGGGAAGTGACTGAGAGATTAGCCAGTGCTGAGCAGAGGGGTCGTGCTGCGTTAGTGTGAAAGGTAAGGTTATCGTCTTTGCCATCGCCGGCTGTAGGTGTGATAACGGTCCCCTTGTATTGTGAATCGCGGTTGCCGGCGGTCGGGACAGGCGTGTGCCAGGGATGTGAATGCTGCGAGTCGGAGGCGGCCAGTTAAACCCGAGAAATGCGATGCGATTGTGAAACCCGACACTGCAGCTGAGTGCCGGCCGAGCGGACACCGCTTCAGCGTAAAAGGGCTGGCAGTGGTACTCCGGCGTCGGCCGGATCCACCTTTAATCTATTGGCTTTACTGGAGATGGTGATATTTGATGCTTGTCCGGCGTATACATGGTATTATGACATTATCAGGTATAGTGAAGCGCGCAATGAAAGCAACCATACTTAATCGCTTGAATGGCGAATGCAAGAATACAAAAAAGTATGCGTGAAAAATTTACGTTAAAATGTTATGTCTAAACAGCACTTAAGCGCAACTCCAAGCTGTCCGTGTTTCTGCAGACGTCCCTAATTAATCTCCAATGACTTTGGCGCACATCACCACTATTTGTGCACCGTGAAGTTCTGTTATTATAGCGGTACAATACTGATGCGAGCATCTGTTTTGAGTCCCCAAAAAAGTCTTGATTGTTTTCGATAGAACATCTAATGGTAAACATGATTGTTACAATGTACACTTACAGTGACGTGCGCATAACTGTATAATAAAATGGGAAGTCATAATGATTATCATGTAACGTCGACAATGATTTTAATGATGTGTCTTCATCATGCTCATATTTACAGTCAGGTTGTGTTTCCGTCTATTCCATGTTATATCAACAGTCCACTCTGTGTCATGGGATGAGCACTGAATGAACACACTGCCATTTTAACAGCTTTCCTGTGTTATTTAAAATATCCCAGTCGTGGTGCACCATTAAGCTCCTGCACCTATTTTTGGTTCAGCTCGGATAAAGTAGTCTAATGGAATGTTTCTGGGGAATTCTGTGTCTTGGTTTAGTAGCTGGTGTAATGGTAAGTGTCACTTGCAAGGACAGAAAACTTTCTTTTTCACCACAAATGGTGGTGAACATTGAGTCTCGACGGTGAGGAATTATGGCATCTTATGCAAAAAATCTGCAAAAGCATGTCAGTGAGCTGATGCATGACATCATCACCGACTCACAAGCTGCGCTGTGGTGAGAAATGGACACGCAAGCCCACCAGGACTCCTTGGCCTGGCGGTGTAAATGTCATCAGCTGTTCCCCGCACATCCCCGGCGCTGCCTCCGCCACTAGCACCAAACACACACACAGCCCCTGTGTCCATGTGGATGTTTTAAATTAGCAGATGATTCCGGTTAATACGTCTGAATGTGTAAAGTGTCACGGTTTTGAACTAAAGCAGCTGAGGTGGCTGTTTTAAATGAAGTGAAATGAAGCACATGCGCCGTGTTTGCCATTTGCACTAGTGCCAGAGCAGGTAGTATTTGCATATCCCATCATACTCTTATTCGAGGCATCACATGTACGGGCAAGGATCAGAACGCAAGGTCAGACGTTCATCTGAACGGCGTCTAATGCATTCTGCAATGCTTTGTTCTTCTGGCTCTTTTATCGTATGTAACTCCAAGCTCCGTCGCTCAGACAGCCTCACTATAACCCTATGGGCCTGCCCAGGAGCATCTTCTCACATGTCCCCTACCTGTGTCCCTTTCATACTCCTGGTTGTTCACACCAGTGACACCAGTGAAATCTTATCAGCTCACCGCTTCTGTGACCTTCCCCCTTGCGGGTGCTTGCCTTTTACTGTCCCCACACAATCCCGTGACACGTCGCCTACGTGTTCTTGACGTGCTGTCACACGGGGGGGTGGGGGGTGAAGAAAGCATTTTATAGATTTACGTGGCACACAAATAAAGACGTCCTGTTGTAGTCAGGATGGAGAGCAGCTTGTCACCGTCAGAGTAAATCCCGCAGTGGAGAACGACATGGGTCAGTTGTATCGCTTTATCAAGAAACGCTTACTATAGAGGCCGTGATTCAAATCCGTTTCACTCACAAGTGAGTGAAACAGCACTCCGTGACTCATCTTAGACAATCGCTGCTCAGAAGTGGAGCGTTATATCTTTAAACAGTATATGTACACAGACAAATGACATGAAGGATGTCTATACTAGAGGAAACCTTGGTTTCGACACCTAGCTGACAGGGTTGGTAAAACATTTTACAGATACTTAGCATTGAGACACATCCTGGTGCATTTTGCTGGGCATGCTGTGTGTGTGTTTTTTTTGGGATAATTCCCAATTTTGTCACAGCAATGTATGGTAGTTTCTGATATGGAATCAAAATACATCAACATAAAAAGCACGATTGCTGGAAATGTTAGTCAATCAAAAAATAATGCATGTAAGTCTGATGGCACTTTTGTCAAAGGAGGTTATGAAAAGCCCACACTGGTTCAGTGTTTGATGTGTGATGCGATACAAGTGTGTGCAGTTATAATACGTTTTCTGAGGAACTTAAAGGATGGACAGCTTGGCAGTACTATAAGTTTGTCCCTTATAGTTCATCTCTGGTACCATGGTTCAAATCTCCGCCCTGGCTCTCTCTGCGTGGAGTTTGCATGTTCTTCCTGTGTTCTCTTAGGGTTTCGTGTTTCTAGTTTATCAACCACAGTCCAGACATGTGCTGAGGTTAACTGGAGTTGCCAGATTCCACGTGTACGTGTCCTGGGTTGGCACTGCATCCTGGATCATTCTCTGGCATGTGTCCATAGCTATCAGGATAGGCTCTGGACACCCCATGACCCTGAATAGGACAGATGGATATGAAGGGATGGATGGGTGGATGTTTCGAGGCACTGCATTCCAGTGTGTATATTTAAGTCTAGTCCCTTTCCCTTTTAGATGAGACAGGTGTGATATTCCCCTTGTCAAAACTGTTGCATTTACATTTATTAAATGGCTGTGACATCTCCTGCTGCATTTACATACCTTTACAGTAACAGCTCTGAAGCTCTGAACTTTTATCCCAGGATCTGAAATCCTCTGGGATGTTAGGTGTGTTGTTTTTTCAGCAGATGTACAGTTACAGAATAGATTTCTTTTGCCATTTATTTTCAGTTTCACCAAGACCACATCCTAGGCATGAGATATGTTTATAAATATATATATTATAAGCTGGGGTGATTTCACAAGATAAAAATGTTATTCGGTTGGTTTGTACATAACGCCAATATCTTCAAATATACCCTGAGTCTCAGGAAAAACCAAGAATTGCATTTGTTTTTGTTCAGATTTAAGCTAAAGACACGTTATGCCCACAAAATACTGATTTTTAAATACTGTATTTGATAAAGACAGGATAATAGCTGTGGGTTAATGAGTCTTACTGTTTCAGCTGTAGCGTGGTATTATCCTCCGACAATACCGATGACGGCGTAAGAGAGCGCGGCACAAACAATGCCTCACCTGCTGTAACGGTGCTCGAGACAACAAGGAACTATGCATCATTTAGCTCAGTGTCGACAAGCTGGCTAGTGTCATCCAATTGGAGCAAAGCGTATGCAAACAACAGCTACTGATTGGCCTCTTGGGCTCCTTTTATCTTGTCTTTTACTATGATCTATCTGAATTGAAAGGCTTTTACGTACTATTAGGGATTTTTCTTTTTTTAATGCACTAAGGATTGTGAAGCTTTCACAATGCATTGTGCTTGTGAGATGTTTCAGTGGTTCATCCGCTTTGGATTTTGCAGGCGTCTCAATCATAAATTATAGAGGGAAGTGTGAAAAACTGAGGTAGCTCACACTTCAAATAGGAGAACGTGTGATGTTTGATTAAAAAGATCACATTGCCTGTGCCACCAGAAAATACATGTGAGAAAATGCTCTTGATATTATAGGTGAAATTGCAGTTTTCAGTTTTAAAAATGGGCTTGACTCAATAACCCATCTTTGCAAAGATATGAGTCGTTTATTGCGCTGGGTCAGATCCTTGGTATAAAGTAGGTGATCTTTTTTCATAAACGTGATTGACTCAGTTTGATTTTCACACTCCCAAAAGATTTCAATGCGCATTCATATTGTGTAACCCCAAGCACCATTCACAGTTAAAAGGAAAACAATTAGGAAATCAAATTATGAATGTGTTATTATGTCAGAGTCACTGAGCAGGTTGCTGGTTAGCTGTACTCTACTGTTCTGGAGCATTTCATGAACACGTCACAGTCGAACGGACAGCTTTTATTGGGCACACAACCTGCGACCTTCAACATCAGACTTTCCTGCTACTTTCAGGCCCGTCTTTCTTGGCTTAGAAACTGAGCCACACGTTTCCCCTTTTATAAACAGATAAAAAAACAGTTAGACAGCACAGAAACTGGAAGACGCAGTATGCAGAACACCAGCTCTGGGACACTTTAGCAGAATTGTGAATAAAAGGTCGGTTTGTACTCTGATATAATATTAATTCGGTAAGATGTTACAGCATTAAAAATGACACTTTGAGATATGCAGAAAAAAAGTTGACTTGGTAGATATTCATTATTGCCACCATGCATGGATTTTTATTACTTTACAATATATTTATTCATAGGATCTGTCAAATGTACATTGCAGCTTAATTAAATTTTAACTAAGGAATATTTTTGACAGTTAGGCCTCGTTATTCGTCATTGTAAAGTGTTTTCATTTCATTTTTCACGTGGGTTGGCTAGGTCCCAGTTATCAGAGAGAGTCGACAGGCAGGGCCCCTCTCTGGCAGAGCCGTTTGGGAATCTACGCCCAGGACTTGCTTTCGACACAGAACTAATTATAGAATTAATTTTCCCCACGTTAGTAATGGGAATCAAGCTCATTTAAAATGGGTGACTGGGAAGATACGTGCAGGTTGCTGGGAGTTAAATGTAAATTGATCACTGTACGTTCATGTTGCCCTCATGGGAAAAGCTGTTAGTGGTGGATGCAATCAGTGTTTGACGTTACGATGCGCTGGAGGCCAGAATCACTCACCCAGAGGCCCTGCTTTGCTGGCA